TTCGAATTAGGCATCTACTCGCTCTTACAATGTTATTATTACTTTATGAATTTACTGAAATATGAACTAACTCATCACTGTCTGAAGCAACATGATATTTGCTAGCTGTTCTATTTTTATTTTTAAATTTATTTAGGTTGTTTTTTTGGAATGCGAATATTTAATTTAATAAAGATTTTCAGGAAAAGAATTATCATAAGAACAGACTTTTGAAAGAGTATATATTTGATACGATTAATGCTTGTTTCATGCTCTATCGAAATGTAATACTTGAAAGTATCCATATTCTATATTTATTATGAGGGTTAGAATCATTGCATCATCAATTTATATTTTATTGCACTATCTTTGTTATACAAATTTTTTTTTAATGTGAATGAAAAATCATTCATAAAAGACAAATGTCTTTGATATCACGAAAAGAATGAAAACGAGACAATCCTCATTTGATTTTAATATTCATATATAAATCATACTTAATGGTAATTTTACACAATCAAATGACAACAAAAAAAGGAAATAACTATTATTGCTACTTATTAACGAACAATAAAAGAAAAAGGTGATGCTTTGATAGTACTTCTATCGACATCTTCATAGATGGATCTACAATTAATAAAAATTGTTTTTTTTTTCTTTTCTTTCTACTATGTCAATTGATGATGCAAGTCTATTCGTCATTCAATTTCATCAAAATTATAGCTCGTAATATTATATCAAAAATGACACGTATTGTATGTATAAGTGATACTCATTCACGTTATCAATTTGAACTTCCAGCTGGTGATATACTTGTTCATGCGGGTGATTTTACTTTATCAGGTCTACAAACTGAAGTCGAAAATTTTATAAAATGGCTTAAATCTTTAACACAATATCGTTTAAAAATAATTATTGCCGGTAATCATGATTTAACTCTTGAACCGGAATTTTATGAACAAACATGGAAACAATGGCATCATAGAGAAAAACAAGATTATGAAAAAATTGGACAATTAATACGTGATCCATCGTTAGCAACTGATTATGGAATTATTTATTTAGAACAACAAGAATTTATTGATCAACAAACAGGATTAAAATTTTATGGAAGGTAAAATTAATT